AATCCTCCTGCCTGAGCTGCTGCGATTACAGGTACGCACCACTGCACCCGGCTTTCACCTTTTACTCTTAAGAGTGCCTGTACGTCAAATTCTTGGCCACCAAAGAAATATACCCCTTGGGTCCCATTTCTTTTTGTCTATCTTCTCTTTGAGATAGCCTTCGGGTATGTGTGTGTGTGTGTGTGTATGCACATATATGTGTGCATATATGTGTATGTATACATATATGCATATATATGTATATATAAACACACACACATGTTGGAAGACTATCTCAGGGAGAAGATAGACAAAAAGAAATGGTTCCCAAGAGTATATTTTATTTGCATATCTATATCTATATATCTATATATATCTATACACACACACACACATACTAGAAAGACTAAGGAAAGACTAAGGAATGTGAGACTGTACCTCAGAGAGAAAGATGCTCAAATATAACCTGTGTTAAGATCACAGCACATTCTGGGTCTAACTTCAAGGAAGAAGAATCCTGAGATCAAAATTATACATATATATATATATATATATATATATGTGTGTGTGTATGTGTGTGTGTGTGTGTGTGTGTGTGTGTGTGTATCTTTTTAAAGGGTTAGTTGCCAACCATAGAAAAATGATATGAAAGTAAGTACTAGTTCCTAAGTTAGGTATATTCATGCCTTTCAAGCTAACCTAGTTTCTGCAGCCTTAGGGGTGGGGACCTAAGCCCATCAGCCCATGTATATTTTTAAATGCAAAAACACTATGTCCAAGACTAGGAAAAGCTCCAATATTACCTCTGGAGTGAGTGATGATTCTTCTAGTATGCTTTGCATGAACTTTTCAGGAGGAAAAAAATGTTTTTTTTTTCTTTCCCCACAAACTCTTAACATTTGCTTAATTACAAAGTACACGGACCCACGGACTTGTCCCCACTTACATTTAATTACAGACCAAGAAGCCCATGAGAACAGTCTACTGTTTCTTGTGTGCTAGGAATACCTAGCATCCAAAGACAAGTCACAAATAAGAGAAAGGTAACCCACGTGGCTTTGGTTTCCAGCCCCTATCTTCCAGTGTTGCACGTCCAACTGCATTGCACATTCTAGCCTCTCAGTATCCCTTTGGTCTATAAATTAAAACCTATGCCAGAGTGAAGAGTTTGATGAAGACTTATGAAAATAACTCTTGCTGCGGTCAAATTTGGAGTAGCAGCTGGAGAAACATATTTACTAAGAATTATTTCCTCATTGCAGAACAAAGCCATTGTCATTTGTTCTGAGGCAGCCACTGAAGTGTTTACCAGCCGCTCCTCATAGCATTTAATGTCTGCCTAACAGGGTGCTAGGAAGCTGGACTCTTCACTTCCAGCAAGTTCAGATTCAGGAAAAACATGGGCTGTGGGTTCATGGCTCCAAATGTTCCTCTTGAAAATGGACTTTATTGTTTACATTTCTTGGATAACTTCTTCCTTACTTTTTGTCTTGTTTTGTTCTTTGAAATAATTTCTGGAATGCCATTTGAGAAAACTAGTTTCCAAGCCACTTGAAGACCTTTGGACCACAGTGTTTTAAGTGTGGTATTCCGCCACTTGTAAAATCCAAGTGTTACAAAAAGAAAGAACTGTGTTCCACTGACCCCTGTCTTGCAAAGGACTTATTCTCTAGCTCAGAATAAGCCCAGTGTTTTATTGAGGGACTGTTACAAATATTTGTGAATGACACTATACCCAAGTAGAATATGTTCCTTATTTCTACACAAATTGCACCTGATGAAACCTTGCAGGAATTTCTTGCTGTTGGGCTATTGTTGGTAGCTAATACTGATTGAGGTGAATACTGATGCTTCTAATACAATCATGGGCTGTCACATAGGAATAAAGAATCTTTCCCTAGTTCATTCCAATACCTCTTCTCTGTAGTTTGGTAGCTACAAAGTTAATTGTCAGCAACCTATAAAAATAACACATGGTGGCTCTAAAAGGGAAAACAATACATACATAGGGTATATGATAGAAACTATCATACTAATTAAGGATTTCCCCAATTCTCAATTTCCTTTCCTAGTTCAACTTTTTGGATTAATGGCAGGAACTGCTCATGGGACAGCCAAGCTCATGGGAAATTCTTCTCTTCTGATAATCTGTCCTTTTCATTCTCCTCAATGGCTACTCCAGACCTTCCCAACTCTTCCTGTCCACTGTCTCTCACATTTAATACCAGGTGATCTTAAAATGATCTATTGCCCCATCATAACCCCTGGCCCCATGCAAGCCCACCCAGCCCCACCCACCTTCTAATCATGTCTCATCCATTCATGACTCCTCTTCATCACCTTCAGGGGAAGGACAACTGTTCCTCCAGCTCCTCGTCTAATTTTGCCACATCAAATGTCTCCGTTTTCCTGTATGACCTACCTTCCCCTTTCTATTGGTTCCTTCCTTGGATCCTGTAAACTTACTAAAATTTCCTGCAACTGTAAAACAAACAGTAAGCCAAATAACACTGCCCTGTGCCCTCCTCCAGGAATGGGTCTCTTTTTCTTCTATTTACAGCTAAACTGAACTTGCTATCCCTACTTCATTATTTCTCATTTAATTGGAATTTTTAAAAATTTCCATATTAAAAAAAACGAAATATCCATCATAAGAATATATCAGGCAATATATGAAAGAAATTTTATACCTCTAGTGGTGTTCCCACCCATTGACTCTTATGTGTTCTATTAACTTATGTTTTATATTTTCATTTTTCATTCCTATATGGGTTGCACTGTCTATTGCCAATAGACAAGGATACTCTTTTAAAGTTCCCAATGTCATTGTTATATCTGAAATGGAAATTGGCAAAACTTCCCTGATATCTCTCATCAAGTCTCTACCACTGGTCATACTTTGATGACTACTCTTCCAGCCTTTTTCTATTTATAGATACATAGAATAGGTATGCATCACTTTTTCTATTAAGAAGTACAGCTTGATTACATAATGCTATAGTGTAACGTGACTTTCCCCCTAATACATGTATCTTTCTAAATTAAAATATAGCTCTATATTGCTTTTTAAAAATATCTAGTCTTGTATACATGTATCCTAATTCATTTAATCAATTACTTACATTTGTCCATAAGGTTTAGATTGCCCTTTTTCCTCTGTTATACATAGTGTTGCTAGGAAAATTAATGTTTTGTTTTGCTGCTTTATTTGGAGGACAAGGTTCATCTCAACTCAGAGCCATTAGAAATTATTTTAATGAGAGTAATAGAAAGATTTAAACTTATACTTTTTCAAATAATTATTTTTCCATTCACTCTTTAGCTACTGCAGTTTGATTTTTGCCTGTACCATCATTCAAAGGGCATCCATGATTTCTTTTGGAGGGGGAGCAGGGGTTGTACTGGGGATTTAACCCCAGGGCAATTTACCACTGAGCCGAATCCCCAGCCCTTTTTATTTTTTTATTTTGAGACAGAGTCTTTCCAAGTTGCTCAGGGCCTTGCAGGGTTGCTGAGGCTTTGAATTTGCAATCCTCCTGCCTCAGTCTCCCGAATCACTGGGATTACAGGGGTGTACCACTGCACCCAGCCATCTATGATTTCTTAATCAACAGATTTTTTCCTCACCCTTCTTTACTACCTCTCAGGATCTCTTGGCATCCTTAGTTGTTTATTTTTGCAATTTTCTTTTCCTTGGGCTTCTATAAAACCACACTTTCCTGGACTACCTCTTACATCTGATTTCCCCATCTGAATTTTCCTGGCTGAATCTTCTTTCTCAGCCTGTGTGTTCTTCCTGGGAGGTTGAATATGACTGTGCTTCTCACATACATGTTCTCACTGGGCAACTTAGAGCAGTTAGCAGAAATTGTGGTTTGGTTTGATAGACACTGATGGGCACCAGAGCAAGCATGTGCAACATGAAACAGGTCAGGCATTAGCCAGGTGCAGCTCAGGATGCAGCATAGTTCTGTATACTGGAGTGCTGGATGTGGGCAGCTCTCAGTGAGAGATGAAGCTGAAGAAGGCAGGCAAAGGCAGTGATCAGTGGGTAGAGACTTGTACATGTCATGCTAGGGAGTGTGGACTCGACTCTTTCTGTCTATTCAGTAGATTTCTCCAGATCCTTATGACTTACCTTATGTGGTGTATCCTACATCTGCAATGTAGAAATTTCTTTTTTCATTCCATAGAGCTAAGTATATTAGTATTGCTTCCCTTCCATAACCTGAAGGAAAACCAGGTTAAAGAAGACAAAATTCTCAAGATGGAAGTGGGGGTAGGAGGGGCAGAAAATGAGGTTTGTATAGTCAGTGCATCTCAAATAAAGAATGCGAATAGGATATTATGTGTGATGTATTGGAACTCTCAAAATATTTTTTTTCCAGCCATTGGATGTACCCAGCATGAAGCGTGAGATAAAATCACCAGTTCTAGAACACTTTCAAAATAAATTCAGGGCTGAAAACAAGCTCCACTACAGCATCGTGTGCATGGGGCATGCTTTGCAAAAGTCATTTTCACTAGGACATGGTTCTCTCCTGAGGGACACCTCTCCCAAGCACTGGAATGTGGGGTGCAGTCATGCAAACATGAGGCCCTTGACCACACTGGGTTATTTTCCCACTTTTCTGCTACCTCAAAAGCCATCTTTCCACCCTGAGTTTTGCCAGCTCCAAATATAATGAGAGGAAAGTAACTCATGTCTGAAAATCAGCTACACATTTTCTAGCCTTCTGGGGAAATTGCTTCTGCTTAAAATCTTATCCTTACAAGACAAACTTCCCAAGAATGCGTTTCCCCCATGCTTCATGAATTCCTGTAACTGGAGAGTGGAAAGGCTCATTCCTTGTCAGTGCAGGTCATTTTGCTGTTGAACATCTTGCTGGTAAATCACATGTCTGAACTCTCCTATGAATCCGATTCACTTGGGAGTGAAAAACTGCCTAGAGTTCAAGGCTAATGAAAGGTAACAACTGTTAATGCAATTGTGTATGATCTCTTCCACTTTCTGTTTGCAGCCTGCAGCCTCCCCAGAGGACACCCCTGAGCTCAGCGCCTTTCTGCGAAACTCTACCATTCCTCATCTTGTCAAGAAGCGGGATGTGCCTGGTGTCCAGCTCCACAGACAGAGTCCCACAAAAATACTGGTGAGTCATCACTGTGTGCATAGATCTGAAGAGAATGATTGGACCCGTCAGAAATCCCAGATATAGAGGGTTTTAACTTCAAGTCTTATTTGCAGTCTCCTCTGATGCTCAGATATGCCTGACATATTTTGGCAGTACATATTGTAAGAAATGAAAGTGACTTTTCTGAGAGGATTAAGGAGCATTTGTGATATAACCTTTTTGTTCTTCTAAACCTGTCTCGGAGGCTACTTTAGAGAAATAAGGATGAAAACATCAAATGTGACCTTTAATCCATTTTAAGAACATGAAGGTTCAGTTGTTAACCTATCCACAGAGAGTCTGAAGTGAGCTTGGAGGAGGGCTGTTCATCACTGGGCCCTGAGAACCTACCTGTCCTGAATCTCAGAGTCCTCTGCCCATCCAGAAGAGTAGGGACGGGTGTGTTCAGATTTCCTGGGTCATAATCCCTGTAGCGTAATAGTGTTAGGGTCCGTAGTTGCTCTAGGTTGAGCCTAGGCTGGACTTTGCAAAACTTTACAAAGCATTCATGAGTCAGTATTTTTGATGTAGTTCTCATACTCATCCGAATGTTGTTTTTAGAACTTTATCTCCTTACCTGAACATCCACTGCTTCCCTGACCATGTGGCAAAGGCTAAAAATGAGCATCAAGGAGCAATTTAGCCCTGTTCCACACATCAGTTCCATAAAGAGTAAGACCATACAAGCACATCTTCCAGCCTTGCACATGTAATCACCCCAAAATTCATCATCCTGGGCAGACACACCTAGAGGATTGGGATAGGGACAGGCCTAGAACAGTGTCCCAGCACTTGGATGGTGCAGGGATTGAGTAGGTGCTTCTTGCCCCACAGCTTCAGTACAGAAGCTCAGTCAAAGATGCATTATCTTGTGGTGGCACTCAGTCAAGAGCCATAACTACCCAAAGCCAAGAACAGTCAATCCAAAGAGGTTAGCAAAAGGGAGAGACACTTGGCAGGGGGTCTCAAGGGCAAGAAAAGAATAAGGAAGAGAAGGCAGCATTTGAGCCAAAGAGGACTCTGTAGTTATTTCTACAGTGGCCAGAGTCACCTTCCTTGCTGGTCACGAGCCATGAAACACCCAGATCCACACTTCTGGTCCATGTTGGATTCACTCCTGGGCTCATCCAGGTACCACTGGGCTCTAGCCCTTGGGTAATCTTCTCTCCCTACCTGTTTGCTCTGTTGAAAACCCATGAGGATAAGAATATGTTTAGTTTCCTTAGTATTTTTTCTTCAGGGTGTAGCTCAGTGCCTGGCTCATTTGTTGAGCAAATGTATGAATGACACAGTGGATGAAGTTATCATGGCCACTACTAATAGCTTTTAGAGTCACCTCCAAAATGCTCTTGGTGTGACATTCCATCTGAACCCTCAATTCAATTCTAACTAAATATGTTGCAAGCAGTTAAAAAGATAGTGATGATGGAGACTCAATTCACTAGCCCCTCTACCTACTGAATCTGAAATAAAATGACTGTTATGACAATGAACAGCTGCTTTGGGGAATATAATTATTTGAGCCAGTTATGAAACTGTAATAATTCAAAATAGCTGAAGGGAATAAATCTATGTTTGAGGAATTGAATCCCTGATTTTAGCATTTGTATGACTGGAAGAGGGGTAATATTCAGTTGAATTCACAGAATTGAAAAATTGAAAGTTAGCAAGGAATTTCAGGAGATAAAGCTTAGAATAATGGTAGGAGTGAAGGTTATTGGACTCCTCAACTAAAACAGAGGATGCACTGGATACATATAGCATCATTCTTGGCTAAATTAGAAGAATCAACTACATGCTAGTACACGTTGAGGAGGGCAGAGGCAGAGAAGTTCCAATAAAGGCCAGATTTGGGAAAGATACAGAATGAAAACCCCCTATCTGCAGGCTCCGCTTTTCCTTGAGTTCTGAGTCCAGATCAGTTCATTCAGGGACCCTGTCTGAGCCAGCCACGTGCCGAGAAGCATGTGAGCCTTGAGGAAGACAAAGAGGATCGGATCGTAGGTGGGAAACTGGAGAAGTCCTAAATAGACTTCCTTTCTGTTCCCACCCTCCTATACTAACTTGGAATTAGTTTATTATTGTTTTTTAAAAAGCAGAGACAAATATTTCTTTAAACCCTGGTAATCCTAATCATTTATTTCAGTTCAATAAAGTAGGATAATGCTGCAAAGGATTATTCATAGTCCTGAGAATTGAACATGTTACCCAGAACATCCATAACAATTTATTAGTGTTAGTAAACAGCCATCAAAGAGAGGGTGTTAGGGTGAACAGACTCAAATTCCAACTCTCTAGTTCATTGATTTAAAAAAGCAGGGAGTGGTTTCCAGAGCCTTAATTTTAATTTGGAATGATAAGAAAGTTCCGGAGATGGGCAGTAGTGATGGTTGCAAAACAATGTAAACATATCCAGTGCCACATATATGCTTCAAATGGTCAAAATGATGTTTTAAACGTATGTTTCAAACACTCTGGCATTCATTTATTTTATCTTGACATTAAAAGTTCAAACATGGAAGTGGACAGAAAAGTACAAGCAAACAGGGCAATTAACTGAGGTCAAGCAAGGAGTGTTTGTTAAAAATATAAGTGCCTGAAATTACATAGCAAAAAGCTCTAATTGGCAGATTATGATTCAAGTACCTATAAATTTTATAACCGTATACTATATACATACCCGTCCCATAAATTCATACAGCTCTGTATATTGTCATTAAGGAAAAACTTCCAGGGTGAATAATGAAACAGAAAACAATGATTGACATCTGCAGAATTCTAATATGTACACTACAAATGGGAAAAGCCCTTTGGAAAAACCAATGTTCAAACCCACATAGAACTAACCATGTGAAAAATAAAGATTCAGATTGTTTTTGTTTTTCAAATTTCCACTTCTGTGTATGTCTCATGAGTACACTGAGGCAAAGGAGATCAATAACTTAAAATTCTTCTGAAAATTGTGTGCCTTTGTGTTGTAGAGTCAAATATTTTTCCTTCTATTGTTTCTTATTAAATATTTTGACATAAATTTTAACTTCTGAATATCATAGAAGCTTACTTGCTCATGGATGATTGCCAAGGCAATCTTTCTTTTCCTTATCTGATTTTAATTCATCTTTTATTCACATTTTCCCTTATAGGATCAAAACTTGCAAATCATACACCTCCCTATGTCCTCAAGTCAAAACAACTCTGGAGAGTGATTATGCAGAGTTTATTCTAAAATCAAAAGCTAAATAAGACCTCCCACTGTTTTTGTTTGGTTAAAAACAACTTACTGAATCACATTTCTGATTAGGAATTTAAAAGTGCAAAATGCCAACATCCTGTGTTGGGATCATAATTTCCAATTTGCATAACATTTTTTGTATCTATCACACTGAAATCTAATTCTCCTCCACCTAAGACTATATTTGCCTTTCTCATCTTGTTCTCCTGCTGCTTTTGTTATTATCACCTCCTTCTAATCCTCTCCAAACTTTTCTGTCTTCCCTTTCACTTCTCTGATTACAGAAACCTTATCTTTCTTAGTTTCTCTTGAGCATTTTATACTATTGGCCACCTTCTGGAACTATTACATCCCTTGGCTTCCCTCCAAAAAATTCTCTCATGGGTTTTGTCCTACATTCTGGCTAGCCCTGTCTTAGAATAATTAAAGGGACTTCTCCTTTTCCCATCCTTAAATGCCCTTGTACCTCAGATGTCCATCTTCTGGACCTCTGCTTTCCTCCCATTGATTTTGCTTTTTCAGGGAAATTTCTGGCATAACCATATCTCCAATCCTGCCTAAATGCAGTCTGCCATCTTAGCCCTCCCTTCTTGCAGTCAAGACTTGAAAGGTTTGCCTAGATGTCTGATAGCCATCCCAGTCCCAACCTATTCAAAACTCTTGTCTCCAAGACCACCCTAAATGTGCCTCTTCTCTAGCAGTCTCAATTTTTGTAACACCAGTATGGATCCTACCAGTACCCTTCCACCCTGTTCCGATACAAAGAGCTCCCTCCACTACTCTCTCTCCTTCATTGCAAACTCCAAATGTCTATTCTACTTCCTAAATTTCTCTAAAATTCACCTTTCTGTCTTTATTCTCAATGCCTCTGTTCAGGGCCTTAGCATTTCTCATTTGGGCTCTTGCTACAAGCTGCTTAATTATCCTCCTGCCTTCAACTCTATTTTTTTTTCTCAAATACCACCTATCTCTCTAAACACAAACCTGATCATGGCCCTTGATTTAAAAACTTGACACCAGTTCTCCAGTACCTTCTGAATGAACTCTAAGCTCCTTAGCATAAGCAGTATTGTTCTTATCTTATTTCCATCTATCCATCTCACCCCTATGTACCCTGCCCTCCCCTTTCCTGAGTATGCCCTTCCATTGTTCAGGAGAACCTTGTGCCAGTCACCCCATTATTCCAGGTAACTCTCACTCTTCAAGGGCCATTCCACACATCAGCTTCTCCAAAGTCCTCCAACAGAGCTAGATAACCAGGATCAAAATCTCCAGGGAGGTCACAACAGCTACCAACTGGCTTCCGTCTTGCCTCCTGAGGGTGGGATTAGCAGTGAGTAGCATCTTAATTGTGGAGCATAAAAAAATGGAAGAGTCCCCATGAGACCCAGGAACTGCAGAGCTTTGGGATCTCTTGCTTCCATCATCAGCACCTCAGGCTCCAAATCTAATGGTACAAGGATAGTCCAGTTACCTATATTTGGAAGCATCATGTACAAATCTGACCTTACCAAAATTTATTCTGATATATGTTACTGATTGCTTAGTATTCTTAGAATTCTTTGTTCCTAAAAATATTCTTATGGTAATATGTTCTTCAGGTTATTATGTTATTTATCAATTTCATTAAAGTGAAATGCTTCGATCAAGTACTTCACATAATGTTCAATAGACTTATTTGTATTGGGCACCTGTAGTACAGTGTTTGAGACATGAAAAATGAATAAGGATAACCCCTAAGATAAATTCAAAGCAGTGAGAAAATACTCTGTAATGCCAAAAAAAAAAAAAACAGTGCATGTTTAATGGCATAAGTTGGTGTGAACATACTGTATGTACAGAGATACGAAAAATAGTGCTCTGTATGTGTAATAAGGAATGCAATAAATAAATAAATTTTTTTAAAAAGAAGTATCATTCTGTACATTTGCATATAGAAAATGGACATTCATTAATTTCCATACTGGAATTCAATCAGAAATATGATTGATAAAATATTATTGGTCTGATAGGTAAAATGTCATCATAATGAACACTTTCTAGGATCATGCATCTCATATATTCAGAGTGACCCATTATAAGTTGGGAAACCTAAGGAACTGGTTAAAAACAGCCTGATGAATAGAATTCACAGAAGGGCCTGCTCCACAACTAGGAAGTCTTTTGGGCAGAAAGAATCATGTTATGAAACAAATGCTTATCAGTAGGTCAATAATTTTGAGTCTCCAAGATTATGGACTTGGGAGCTTCCTCTGTAGCCTTCTCCACACTTGCTCAATATAGCAACTAGTGGAAAGAATCTCTATAAGAAACATCTTCCCAGGTTCTGAGTAAATGAAATAGAACAACTCATTGACTATTTCCAGAAGATGAGTACTTAGAACAGAACTTGCATTTTATTCATGTCCATTTCTCTCTCTTACCACTAACATCCATGCATCATTACCACTAATGGTAATGATTGTCCTTGGTTGTTTCAATACCTCTGTTCTTTCCTTAAATTACATTTGCAGATAAGGCAATGACTTCTGAAGAAATAAAATGGAAATAAGCAGATTTTAATGTTGATTCTCTACCAGCATTTAAAGATGCCTGTTTTAGTCAGCTTTTTCACTGTTATGACTAAAAGACCCAGTCGGCACAATTGTAGAGGAGGGAAAGTTTATTTGAGGGCTCACGGTTTCAGAAGTCTTAGTCCATAGAAGTCTGGCTCCATTCTTCAGGTGAGGCAGAACATTGTGGTGGAAGAGTATGACAGAGGAAAGTAGCTCACATGGTGATCAGAAGCAGAGAGAGACTCCACTCTCCAGATACAAAATATATACCCCATAGCCACACGCCCACTGAACCACTTCCTCTAGCCACACCCCACCTGCCTCCAGTTACCACTCAGACAATCCCATCAGGGATTAATTCACTGATTAGGTTAATGCTAAAACCCAATCACCTCCTCTCCAAACCTTCTTGCATTGTCTCACATGTGAGTTTTGGGGGGACACCTCATATCTAAATAATAAAACTGCCCCTGTCTTTTAATGTGCTGTCCCTGATGTTGGGTTTTTTGTCTTGTTTTGTTTTGTTGCAGAATTGTACAAATATCGAGTGTTTGCAAATCTCCTGTGTAGTGGGACGACTAGAAGGAGGAGAGAGTGCAGTTCTCAAGGTCAGATCTCGACTGTGGGCCCACACGTTCCTCCAGGTAATAATATCACAGATACATCTACATACCATTCACTAGAACCTCTTCTCAAAAGTTCAGTGGGAAGTCTTTTCAAAATAACTTTTTAATTTAAATATTTTTAGATTTTCTAATTTTAATTTTTTTTATTGCTGTACTAGGGATTAAACCCAGGGCCTCCCACATGTGAGGAAGCTTCTACCATTGACCTACATTCCCAGTTCTTAATATTCTCACCTTAATTTTTAAGTTTTTATCATTTGCAAAATTTTTAATTTAGATGTTTAACATGTTTAAATTTGAAAATTTTAATTGCTTCACTAAAAACATTTGAAGGAAATTTCTGTGGAGGAGTTGAGGTCATCTTTCCCTGCAGGTAAAGATGATTTAGCCACCCTGAGGCCCTAAGACCTTCAGTAGTAATGTAGAGTCAAGCAAGTATTTTCACTTGGCTCACCCCTATCTGCCCAGTGCCAGGTACACAGTAGGTCTCCCATAAATATTCGCTAATGAAAGGATGGCGAGTATGGAAACACAAGCCAAGCCATGTGTCCAGAAAAATAAAAAAGAGAAAATCAATTTAAATGGGGAAAAGGAGAGTGTTCCAGAAAGTTCCTCAGATCATGTGATCCTCCAGCTATGTTCACTCAACAAATATTTATGGAGCACCTACTGTGTGCCAGGCACTGCCTCACAGGGAAATATCAGTGAGCAAAGTAGATGTAGCACCAACCTTCACAGAACTGTCCCCTCAGCAAAGGAGTTGGAAGTGACAAAAGCATGCATAAGCCTGTTTTAGACAGAAATAAGTGCCCCGAAGCCAGTGAAACAAGGTCTCAGGATAGAGTGGGAAAGGGGGCTGCCTCTATAGGGAGGGTGGGTGCAGGATCTCAGGAGCATAATGTTGTTCTGTCGAGTACAGTAATAAGCAAAACTAAACAGTTCATTGGTAAATCTAAGAGAAAATAAGTGAATGAAAACACAAAATTCACTAGAGTAGTAAATATCTCCTGAGTAGGGGCCATTCAGGGAAGAACATAGAGAATGTTTCAAAGTACTGATGATGTTTCACTAAAAAAGGTACGTGCATGTTCATCTTGGATTTTCCCTATCACTATATGTTGTAAATGATGATTGTCTTTGCCCAGTATTCAATTGAACAACTTTCATTCAAAGGAAAATACCAGAAGGACTGAGACAGTTTGGAATCTACTACAATAGTTCAAGGGAAGAGGAAACTAAGAGCTCTTTTACAATTTTATAGTTCTGACTGTATTAGTTACCTATTGTTGCATAAAAAAAAATTCCCCCAACTTGGCAACTTAAAATAATAAGTATTCATCCTTTCACCCTGAAAGTTAGGAATCTGGCCACAGCTTAGCTGGGTGCTTCTGGCTTGGTGTCTCTTCACTGAATGATACAATTGAAATGTCAGTGAGGGCTGAAATCAATCTGAAAGATTGACTGGGGCTGGAGGACCATCCACAAGATGGTTCAAGGACATGCATAAAAAGCTAGTGATTGATGTTAGGAGAGCCAGGTCCTTGCTCCGTGGACCTGTTCAGATGGTGCTGATTGAATGCCCTCCTAACACAGTGGTTAGCTTCCCCCAAGCAAGCCCGGAGAGAGCAAATCTTGCATGTCTCTTGTGACCTAGCCTTGGAAGTCACATTCTGGCATTTCTCCAATATCCTAAAGTTCATGCTTATCACCCCTGTTCAGTATGGGAGGGACCCACATACAGGTGTGAAACACCAGGAGGCAGGAATCACTGGGGCCTCCTTGGAGACTGGCTACCCCAATTACATTAACCAACTCTTTACCTTCCTACTTTTTTTAAGGTGAAACTTAAAGCATAAATCATAAATCCTGTTCTTTCTCTAATCAAATGAAACTAGAAATAAATGATACTATCATAACCAATATGTCAGTGCCCTAAAAGTTGATGTAACAACCACAAGCTGATTATCTTCAAGCTACAGACATTGACCCTCTCAATCAGAAGTGTAAAACTAAGGTGTGCACAGAACCGGTTCCTTCTGCACACAGTGAGGGAGAAACCATGCCAGGCTCCCTCCTGGCCCTTGCTGGCTGCCAGCCATATTGGCATCTGGTGGCCCACAGACACATCACACCAGTATCTGCCCCGTCTTCATATCACTTCCTGCTCCATGTCTTTGTGTCATCTCCTTTCTGTCTCTTCTGAGGACATTCATTGGATTAGAGCCCATCCTAATTACTAAATGCTCATCTCTAACCTTTCCTTAACTACATCTGTAATGACCCCCATAAGGTCATGTTATGAAATTCTGGATGGCCATGACTTTAGGGGAGACATTATTCAACCCACTCTAGTCATCAATCCAACATCCCTCCTGAAACTTTGCTACTCCATTTTGCCACAATATTTTAATTAATTAATATAGTAAGTGTGCTTTTTTTTCCCAGTACTGAGAATTGAACCCAGGGTCTCTGGCTTGCTAGGCAAACTATTTACCACTGAGCTATATCCCCAACTCTTTTTAAATTTTATTTTGAGACAAGATCTCCCTTAGTTGCCCAGGCTGGCCTTGAACTTCTTCTCCTGCCTCAGCCTCTGGAGAAGCTGGGATTATAGGTGTGTGCCGTCACACACAGACAATACACTGTTTAAAATGTCACTAACCTTAATAGTACAGGGGGAAGAGATTAGTTGGGTTTAAGGCATTTGGGGTATAACTGTTTTCTTTCAGTTCATTACATACTTTTAAAAATATAGTCTCAGGTACTTCTTCACTAATCTTGGGAAGATTTTCTAATCAGAATAAAGTTATGGTGACTCTTGTATTTTTGGTAAACACTGGCAAAGTATGTTTTTGAATTTTATTTATTTTTATTTATGTTTTTGGTACTAGGAATTCAACCCAGGGTGCTTAACACATCCCCAGCCCTTTTTATATTTTATTTTGACACAGAGTCTTGTTAAGTGGCATGGGGGCTTCACTAAGTTGCTGAGGCTGGCTTTGAACATGTGCTCATTCCTGCCTCAGTCTCCTAGTCACTGGGATTACAGGCATGTGGCACCACACCCAGCTGAATTTTATATACACACCTTCCTCTGTGAAAACTACCCATAAGCAAAGTGGTAAAAACTACATGCACACATTAGAACAAGTTCTAGGAGCCCTGACCTTGATTTCCTCTGTTTTTGCTATCTTTGGTAGATACTGGGTCAGGACGCAAGAGCCTGGTGCTATTCCTGATTAGCTCTGTGAACTTTCATGGGGCTTTTTTTCCCCATTTGAGATGAAGGGATTGGGCTAAAGGCTCCTTTTATTCCTAAAACTTTACTGATGTATGGGCAGCTCACATGGAACCTCTCCTAATAAGTTATTTATAATGTTTATTCTGCTTAGCTTAAGTCAGCAATAACTCGGCATGCTTTATTAATAGCCTCTTTTGTATTATGTTTACACTTAGGTTGACTCAGAACAGACTATACCTAAATGGTTCTCTAAACTTGAAGAGCAGCCAGCCAACCTTTCCAAAGAGATATGTCTGTAAATAGCAAGGCTTCTATTGAGTAATCACCACACAACTGGGCGCCAGGATAGTAAATGCTTGTGTGTGGATTATAACTTCTCACAGAAATCCTGTGGGATACATGTTGTTGTTGTTATTATGATTATGATTATTATTATTATTATTATTATTATTATTAGCTGCATTTTACAGATAAGCAAGCTGAGACGTGGAGGTTAAGTGGACTTCTCTAGGTCACGTAACTAGTAAGAGGAGGAATCTTTGAGTTTTTGTCCTATGTATGTTACCTTGCTAAACTGCTAGAGATTTCTATGTGAAAACTACATGCTGTAGATTTTACATCATAATAGCAATGCTACAGGTTGCTAAACTAACTCTTCTGTTAGACTACTGCACTGTAACAACTGTATAGATATTTTATAAATACTATGTATTAAAGCTTTTTAGCTTTTTTAATAATACAATAAATTTCATAACATACCATTTCAGAATCCAGTACAAATACAATTCTTGAATTACATTGCCCAATATAATGGTAATAGCTACATGTGACTATCTAAAGTATTTTAATTTCAATAAAATTAAATATTCACTTCCTCAGTGTCACTAATCACACTTCAAGTGTTCAGGGGTCTCTCCTCTTAACTCCTCTACAAGACTGTGCAAAAGCATATCTGTCCTTGAAGAGAGTTCCACTGGGATGCACTGTTTTAGAACTTTAGGGAAGTATGTTTCCCTTCAAACTTATAAGATTATTTCATATAGTCAATTATCATATCTATGAATGAAGATTTGGACTGTGTTGAATACTAGCTTCCTGACTTTTATTATATCCCCTGATAAGGTAAGAATGAGGCCCCCTTTTGTTTCATGATGGTATCATCTGCTGCCTCGAAAGGCAAAAACCTTTGTCAAAAATCCACTTTTTACTAAGTGCAGCATTCCAGGTTTGAGTAAACACAACCACCTCCCGCTCTCCCCACTAGCCAGCAAGGACAGCAAAATGATGTGATTTTCAGACTGAGGAACAAAATGTGTTGGCTTTACTTCAAAGCTTGGATGTAATTAGGGACTGTACAAGTAAACTTTTGGATTCAGAACTGCTTAGCAAATAAAACATTGAAATTCTGCTATATACAATGAAAAAAAAAAGTTGGGGGGATTACATTCTTTGAAAGTTAAATTTGGAGGGAGTCTTCCTCAAATTTATAGCTGACCCAGGAATGTGAGCTCCTCTAAGGCAGGAAGAATGTTCTGTCTTTGGCTCTCCCAGCAGCCCTGTAGCACCTTGCCCAGGGAAGCTATACCTGGCACTGCAATGGTTGAAATACCTGTGGACAAGTTCTAGGGTTGGCTGGGCCATAACGTATTGACTATTCATTCAGAATGAAACCAATCAAGCTAACCAGGAAAAAAAATCATAACAAATTATCCTTCTTGGTCTAATGCTGATAACCCTGAAAGCAGCCAATATTCTGGCAAAGTTAAAAGCATGTTGC